ACGTTCGGTTCAAATTACACATTCATACAGAAGAAACCCTTCTACGTGGCTACACAATACGAGTACGCGTGCTTGGTTGCGCATTTTGGCTAGCTTGCGTTTGCTTGTTTAAAACCCGTCGTTGTTCGTTCGCCCGACTTGATGGATCCGCGCGGTGTGAGAGAGAGGGAGAGGGAGAGGGAGAGAGAGAGAGAGAGAGACGTCCTTCCCGCGAGTCGTTTTCGGTCAGTCACACCCCGTTGACCCCACGGATGGTGCCGACGGATGGGGACGGGTGCCGGCGATGGGCGGTGTAATTGAAGAGGGAAACCACCAACCAATGGTTAGACGGTAGACTGGTCGATTTCTTCCATCCCTATTCATACACACGATAGAGTTACAGTACCAATATATTATATTAATATATTATGATCATTTCCCTACAGGTCAAAGACCTTCATTTTACTGATCCTGTCCATGAATCATGTTTCATCAACGGTCTGAATGGCCCGGAGGACTCTTTTTTCAAATAGGTTCATCTGTGGAAACGTGACAAAACATAAACTTTTTTCCAAAATGTGGTCAAAATTCAAAAAACGAACGTGCCGATGGGGACCCCTTTTTGCCAAGAAAATGCTGTAAGGGTTGCACAACGCAAAAAAAAACAACATTTTTTTGAACCCTTTTTTCTTTCTCAAAAATCAGCTTTCGCTGCAGCGAAACAGAGAAAAAGACAAAAATCGTGGGGCGGTAATAATTCCGCCGGGAAGTTTTTGTCTAAAAAACGTGCCCTTTGCAGGCTAATCCGCTTTGCATTTCTTATTAATGTGTAGTTTCACTCACTCTGTAGGGGACATTTTAACGGGGATACAGCATGCACATTCCTGAAGACAAGCTGGGAGAGCAGGCAAAAGCCATTCATTTTGTGGCAAGGGCCAGCAGTGCCCAATCCTTACAAAATCAAGTCCCCAAATCGCCAATTTCATTGATCCCGAAATATGTCTGATCATGCCAAAATGATCACAATCCTTTACAAAATGGAGAGCCCATTGGCGTCCAAATGTGGACACTTAAAAATCCTTACAGAATGCAAGCACGCTTTTCGCATCAACAAAACGCATAAGTTATGAATCCTAGGACCACTCATTAGGTAATGGAAATGGCATCAGGGATACATATAGTTATGTGTATTTATATATACATATGTTTGCCAAATAGATCTAGAGAGGAAAACACCAATGAAAACCACATTCTATATAGAACGGTTCTTTTTAAGGCATCGAAAGCCTTACAAATTGATAGGCTTTCTCACAACATCCCTCTGTTACAAAATGCAAGGCACCAATGTCGATACATCTTAACATTTCCACCACAACATCTATATATATATACTCAGGGCTGATGACATAGGAATTTGCTGGGCTAATGAGATAGGAGTTGGGGGCCACAACGTCTAAGTCATCAGTCAGTAGACAAGGTTGCCAAGTGTAGTACACAGGGGGATGACATAGGAGTTGTGGACGCTCTGCCAGCACACGACTTCAAAAAACATATGTATAAATACCGTTCCCATAAGGAAAATATGACTGCGTTAAGCTTCATGACTTAGGCGGGTTCCCTAAGTTTTTCCCACCGCCTGACCTATGTCATGTGGCTTCTTGCCACCCAAGTTTCTCTTCTCAAATAGGTTTAGGGCTTCTTGCCATGAGGCCACGGGGCCATCGATCAAACTCTAAATTCTGAAGTGGTGTGCATCTGTCGAACTTTTGTCAAGATGACATAGGAAGTAGGCACCCAGGAATTTGCGCCAACGCTTTCCTATCTCATTTCCTAGTTGCCACACGCTATGTTGGTGCAAGTCCTAGGTCATGTGTGGCGTAATGTCAAAAACCTCCTCAAACCATGCAATCTCAAACATTTATGTGTGAACAAAAATATATATGTGTGCCAAGGTCATTTTTGTATGTTTTGTTCTGATGAGATAGGAGTTGTGGCGTATAGGCTATTGCATGATGACATAGGATTCTTCTTTCCCACCATACTTTCACAACTCCTATCTCATTTCCCGGTAGTATATATATATATAAAGTGAGGGGCCTCAACCTCATTTCCCTCTGGTTTTTACAAAATGATTTGCCTAAACATCATTTTGTATAAAACAACGGGTGCACTTTTAATTTTGATTTTTCATTTTTTCGGCAATTTGCTCATTGGGATAGAGCGGGTTTCTTCTTAGTACCTAGCTGATTACAGCAATTTCGTGTCCTTAGCAAAGACACAGGTGTCGTAGCAGAGACACAGGTGTCGTAGTTGGCCAAAAACATCAGAATAGTGCAGGTTTCACATTAATTGCTAGCTGATTAGACTAATTTAGGAGCTGTCGTAGCTGGCACAATACATTGGAATAGTGTAGGTGTCAGAGAAAATCATACCTATCAATACCTATCACACCAGTTTGGTGCGGTTAGCAGAGAAACAGCAAAGAGAAAAAGAACTAGCACAAGAGGCATAATTCGTTGGTTAGAAGTTTTTGCACCGGGGAGTTCACCTTAAAATATTGATTTCGTGGCAGGCGCGGGTGTCGGAGATGAAGTGCAGATTTCGTGGCGCGGGGGGCGGTTGGGCGGGGCG